TAACATTTATTTATTTTTGAGACAGACAGAGACCGAGTGCGAGCAGGGGAGGGGCAGAGAGAGAGGGAGACTCAGAACCCGAAGCAGGCTCCAGGCTCTGAGCTGTCAGCACAGAGCCCGACGCAGGGCTCGAACTCATGAACCGTGAGATCATGACCTGAACCGAAGTCAGCCGCCCAACCGACGGAGCCACCCAGGTGCCCCTGAGGTGGTAACTTTTGTTTTTTCATAGCCTTCAAGTCCCCCATCACCCATCACAAAGAATACACACTTCGTTCTAATGTAATTAAGCGAATCTCCAGACATGTCTGTGGACACACAGATTCCACTGGGATTTCATAAAAGATAGCCTAGGTCCAGATTTATAATCTGTTAAAATTGTTTTTGAGTTTATTTACTTATTTTGAGAGAAAGAGCACAGCAGAGGAGAGGCAGAGAGAAGGAGAGACAGAATCCCAAGCAGGCTCCGTGCTGTCAGCGCAGAGCCCGACGTGGGGCTTAAACTCACGAACCTTGACGTCATGACCTGAGCTGAGATCAAGAGTTGGATGCTTAACCGACTGAGCCACCCAGGTGCCCCGATTTATCATCTGTTATATTGTACAAGCTAACATTCCTTCCTACTGTTTTAGAAGTTGACAAATGTACAGTCTGTGTCTGCTTGCTGTGATCATGACAGAGATTTGATGGCATCTTGGAACAACATGCCTCCCTTTGCTTCCAGCCGGGGCTGCTCTGTTCATGTCTGTAGAGTATGAGCAGCCAGGCCTCTTGCTTATTTCTGATGGCCATTTCACGTGTCCCTCACTGGCCTTCCCCTATTTGTTGAAATAGATTTTTAACATAACGACTCCTTTGTGAGTACCTATTTTCATGTCATTAGTAGTTGCTTGGGCTTCTGGGCTCCAAATGGCTCCTTTTTCTCTGGGGCTACCTGTTTCTTTACTCAACCAAAATATTACTTGCTTTTTTTATTCCTTTATTGAATTCAACATTTTGCAACCCTCTGGTGTTGTTTATCCTGGCCCCTGGCTGCCCGCTGAGATGTCTCACGCTGTCAGACATGGTTTCTGCTCTTGCAACATTTTGCTTAGGTCCAGAATTTCTTCACTTTAAACTAACATGATGCTGCTGTATTGTTAGATCCTTAGTGAAAGTTGGGGAGTAACAGAAGGGACTTTGAGCTTAGGATAGGAATCATATCAGAATGTAGTTTCAAGTGGTTATCAGTGCTCAGCCATTTCCCAACACGGGGGCACTTGGAATGTGCTCTTTTTCCTTGGGTGCAGCCTGTTCATACGAAACTGGGGTCCCTCCTCACCCTACATGACCTGTCCACTCCTTCCCTCCATTCCCTGGGCCCATAACCACAGTGTGATAGTCTACCAGACGGGAGAACCCAAAGCAATCACTACCTTCTTTTGCAGAATAGTTAAGGTTTCCTTTGTGTGAGCATCACTGATCTCGACTTTGCCTGGGCCTGGGAAAAATTTTTGTGATCAAGAAAGTCTTTAATATGAGCACTGCCTACCTAGGTCCCCAGGTCCCCAGGTCCCCACCACGGTCATCACTGACAGTGAACAGAAACTTCAAAATTAGATTTTTCTTTGATGTATCCCAGATAAAATGCATGGCAGGTCATTCATTCATTCAACAAATAACTACAGAGCAAATACTTCTTTCCAGGAATTCTTCTAGGAATTGAGCAATAAAGCAACATACAAGGTCTCCCTTCACTTACCTTTATGTCACCAGTCTCTGTGAGTGGGAGGAACCATACTCAAGCATGTATCTCCACTGTCCACAGCAAACACTAGTACTTCCTCTCTCAAAAAAAAATTTTTTTTTTCTCTAAAATGTATGTGGACTTCTCCCTCCTTTCCCCAAAGACTGAAGTATCTATGAAGTCTATCATTTTGGTATTAAGTTATACCAGCTTTCTTTTCATTAAGGTTTTCATGATTTATCTTTTTTTTTGTATATTTTCTTATTTTCTGAATTTCTGCATTCTTATATTTAAGGTGTACTACTGGAATAGTTAGAATTACATTTTGTCTTTTTTTTTTTTTTAATCCAGTCTGGACGGTATTAGTCAAGTAATTGGAATATTTAGTTCATTTATATTTCTTTTTATAAGAGAACAAATCTACACCTTTCTTTATTTACTTTTCAGTTAGTTTAAATCCTTGGAGGGTACAGCATCACACGGATTCTGTGGCCAATGGCTTTAGCAGGAAGGTTGCTTCGGAATTTGGCACAAACCGTGCCAGTGTTTCCATGAGCATGAGTTACTTTTCCCCAGGTTTCTCTGCTTTTGTTCAGTTTGCCACCAGGAGTCACTGTATTGTTCTTTGCTTTGTACACATCAGCACATTTCTTGCCTAGACTGAATTTCATTTCGAGCACAAACACCTTCAATTTTAAGAAGATCTGGGTGTCCCCTCTGGTTCTGGAGACCCCACTTACAGCCAGCAAAAATGGCTTTGGATCAGAGCCTTCCAGACATATTTGTCACTTCAGGAGTCCTGTTCCCAGCAGGTTCCAAGATGGCGGAAAAAGCTAGTTCGTTTACATTTAATGTAATTTCTGATATAACAGACCATTTTATGACTTATTTTCTGCTTGTTTCACCTGTTTTAAGTTTCCTTTGACTCTTCATTATGACTTATTTTGAATAAATAAGAATTCCTCTCTCATTTTTACTGTTAGCCTATTAGTCATACATTCTTTCACTCTTTGTGGCTAATGTGGAACTCGCATCCATTCTTCACTTACTGTCGTCTAGTATAAACTGCTACCTGTGCCACTTCCCATACAATCCTAGGACCTCAGAACATGTTAACTCCACTGCTGCCATTTCACTTGTAATGTTAATGCCATTGTGGATTTCATACATGTTACATTTTAGATGACCCAAGACATTATCCTCATTATTTTGCACAATTAATATTAATTTATATTTTCCCAGATGTATATATGGACATTTAGCTTATTAAAAACTTTTGATTTCTCCATTTTATGAACTTAAATGGAATCATCAAGAAGAATTTAACAAAAGTAAGAACATAATTATTAAATAAAAGGTGTCTTCTTAATCTCTTAAGTACCAATAAAATTCTCTTTGGCATGTCAGGGCCAGCATGTAGGTTATGACAGCTGTTAGCACTTTGCCCTCTACCTAACTGCCTCTTTTTGCAAAGAGATTGGTAATACTAATCAGATAGGGGTGGTGTTTTGACTCATTTTTTTCACATGAATAGCGGGTCCTCCTGGACTATTCGTTTCCCTTCTGTTTCCCAGATCTCAGGCATGCGGCTTCCTTCGAACACCAGCCTGTTCCTCTGGCCTCATCTGATGGCAAGGGTACTGTGGGTGGGCTCCCTGCTGGAGTATGAACAACATGATATCACGGATGTTGACTCTATCTTCTTTGCGTCTACCATTAGTGCTTATCATGGGGTCTGGCATTTAATAGGCAATGATGGATGTTTTCTGAATGGGTGAATAAATTGATGAATGACTGAACAAATGAGCAGCACTCAGTTATGCCAGTGTCTGGTGAAGCACTCTACCAGGCACTGAGATCCCTACCATAGGTGCCCACTCGGCCTCCTTCTGGCTTTGCAGCTGTTTTTAACTGGAGCAGGCTGGGGGCGGGCTATCGTGGGGGTCTTCTCATGTGCATCAGGATGTACTCCTGGCCTTTCCTCTGCTCGTTCGGTGGATGTTCCCGGCAGCCACCAAAATGATCTGCCCTGGGGAATGGCCCAGAGAGGGACACCAGCCCTGTAAACCTGGGAGCAAAGCCCAGCTTCCCCTGCCCTCCCCCACTATTTTTTCACCACTTTGTCCAAAGGAAAAAAAAAATTAAGAAAGAAACAAGAGACAGAAACTGTGCAAGATAGAGAAAAGATTTCATTCAACAAATGTTTTTTAAACCAACACCAAATATCGGTTGCCAAATGCACAATACGTAAAGAGTGTGGCATTTTCTCCTATAAATTAATGTTTAAAATTATTAAGGATGAGTATAAACTTTCAAAGGATGCTCTTCTATGATACTTTCTTCCAAAAATATTGCATATTTTCCTTGAAGAGAGTGGGGAGAAAATGCCACTTTAACTACAATAAGTACATTTTCTTTTTTTTTTTTTTTTTTTCAACGTTTATTTATTTTGGACAGAATGAGCATGAACGGGGGAGGGGCAGAGGGGAGGCTGCTGTGCAGTGGAGAGCAGGCTCCAGGCTCCGAGCCAGAGCCTGGCTGAGACTCAAAACCACCGGACAGCGAGATGCATTGACCTGGCTGAAGTTGGGCCAGCAACACGGCTACTTGAGCCCTACAATAAGTACATTTTCAAATAAGTGTAATATTATATGCTATTGTTTACACAAGAAAGGCTCCCACTTGATCATTTCTGTGTGCTCCCCCTGTAGTCTTTTGTACATGACATTTTACAGATGCTATTTCTGAATCCATCTTTATGATAGTTTAGAATCGCTAAAGGGGATTGGATGGTCATCACAGAGGAAATGAGATATTTGAAAATATTTGACTATCTCATTTAGGAAATGTGGACTAGTTGTTGACTTTCTGAAATGCAATAAAGCTCGTACTTTATCTCTCAAATGAACAGGCAGGCGAAAATGAGTGTTTTCTATCTCAGACTGACCGTTGGTTTCTGGCATTTTTATATCATTTCTGCTTTACTACTTTAAAATCAAAGTAGATAAATAATACCCTTGGGGGAAATAACTTTGCCTTCCTTTATTCCCCACTCTGAAGAACACACACTCAGAACTCAATAAATAATATAACACACTCTGACCTTAGAAATTTTGATTTTTTTTCAACATGTATTTCTACACTCCATATGGTAACTTGTTGGACAGAGTCCTCAGATTGGCCCCACTGCAGATCGGCAGTGGTTTCCAATATCGCTGGGATGTTACCTTAATGATTTGAAATCTCTCGGTCTTTCTCCCACGCCTCGTTTCAGGAGCGTCTCCTGCTGTCTCTGTTGCCGGCTCACATAGCCATGGAGATGAAAGCTGAGATCATCCAGAGGCTGCAGGGCCCCAAAGCCGGCCAAATGGAAAACACAAACAACTTTCACAACCTGTATGTTAAGCGACACACCAATGTGAGGTATGTACGTCCCTCTGTCCCCGCTCCTCAGCGAGTCTGGGGAGCCATTCGCCAGACGGGGGACATTTTCACCTGGGAGCTCGTGTCTTCCCAAGTCCTACCTCTGCTGAAACTGTTAACACGATTCCACCCGCCCTTCTGCTGCCTCTTGGGTTCTTCACATGAAGAGAAGAAAATAGAATCTTCTTCATGGTATTAGATTGTGTTGTCCATCATGGCCCTGCTTTCTATGGCTGACCTTCCTTCCCAAGAGAGAGAGGTGGTTTCTGGAGTGCTTATTCTAGGAAGCTCATGGTCAGATCTCACGGCATCCCCGGAGCCCAGCACGCTCAGCATTGTAGTAAGATTGAAGGTAGGGTCAGTGGGCTCTTGATATAAGAACCGATTCCTCAAGACGAGCTTGGCAGGGTCAGGGCCTCAGTGAAGCTAGCATTTCCTGTCCATCAGGAATGATGGGCTTCTGGGGTGTGGCCAACCAGTGACCAGTATCACAGGGGACTGATAGGCACCTTAATTCATTGATGGTGAAAGTTGCTGCTTTCCAAGTCTCCCATAGTCTGTCCCATCTCTTCCCAGGGAGCCATTCCTGAAATCACCGTACTTGGAAAACCAGCATGTTACCAGCATAGGATTGAGGTCCAGAAGGAGAACCGTGAGAGGCCTCCTTCTCCCCTAGCTCCAGAGAGGAGCAGTGCAGGCTCTCACTTCAGCATGGGGAGGGGGTTTCCTCCCATGCTTCCCATCTCCCAACTGCAGGACACAACCCTTCCAGACATGGGTGCCCGGTCCCTCACTCCTCTCTGACTCCCCTCGCTCCCGTTCCTCATACAAAAAGCCTTTGGGCTTTGTCCTTACATCCATTCAACTATATTGCAGTGATGCTTTTTATTCTCACCAGGTTATCTCCATAAGTACCTTGTGCATCTGTTCTCATTCATTCATTCCACCTTCACGTTATCACCCACCCTGTTCAATAGTTCAAGAACTACGACCACAGACACATCTATAATTTGCTGGGCATTGACGAATTGCCTTTTGCTCTCAAGCCCAGACCCTTTCTGGTGCATGATGTTGGCTTCCAGTCTAGTTGCCTCAAGTTAGTGATTTTTGAAGTTCATTATTAAGAAACATACTTAACTGCAATTGAAATACACAGCTAAGACAAATCTCAGTTTGACCTCAGAATTTAGGATAGGTGCGTAGAGCTAGTGTTGAACGTGGCCCAAGCATGCACAGAGCTAAATGTATGATGAGAAATGCATCTTGGGACGGGAATCACAGAAAAAAGTTACATATCAGTAGGAACTAAGGAAGCATTGGATAAATGAAGAATCAGAGGTAAAAATAAATTTTTTTTAAGTCCTTAGCATTTTGAGAGATTAAAAAAAATAGATGTATTTCAAGAACATTCACACATGTTAAGGAGTAAGATTATTTAAAACACTGGCCTGCCTTCAGGTTTTTAAGTGTTTCACCTAAAGAATTAAAGAAAAAAACATTCTCACACTATCTAACAAGGTGTATTAACACTAGAAATTGCCCTTTCCAGACTTAGCTGTCCAAAAATCAGCAATATCTCTCCTATCTCAGGAAATACTTCTAAGTCACACATGGAGTATTTAAAACGTGAAGATAAATGCAGCTGTGTCTAAACAGGGTCCCAGAACATCTTTAAGTACCTGTGATACAATCCAGGAACAGAGAGACCTGTAAAAATGCGTGGCCATGCCACCAACCTCAGGCCGTTGATGAAGGCTCCCATGCTGTCTTAGTTAGCACTTTCTGCATAACAGAGTATCCCCCAGACCTCGTGGTGTAAAACATCAATAGACACCATCTCACAGTTTCTGTTTGTCAGACTTTGAGAGCAACTTGGCCTGGTGGTTCTGCCTTACACTCTTTTGTGAGGAGGATTCAGGCCTGCCGTTGGGCAGGCTGCTGGGTGGGGGTGGGGGATCTGCCTCCGATGTGGCCCCTCAGATAATTTGCAGTTTATCCCAACTGTTGGCTGGAGGCCTCAGTTCCTCATCCCTGGGCCTGTTCATGGGTTGCTTGAGCGTTCTTACAACACGAAAATTCACTTCCCCAGAGCAAGGGATCCAAGAGAGAGTCAGGGGGAAACTGCAATTCTTTTACGTTCTAGCCTTTGGAAGCCATTTCTCGAATTTCTGCAGCATCCTTTTGATGACGCAGGTCACCCCTATGCGAGTCCCTGTGTGTGGGAGGGACAGTACAAGAATGTAAGTACCAGGAAGTGAGGCTCCCTGGCGCCATCTTGGAAGCTGACTACCACACTGTGGAGGCAAAGGGTCGGCGAAGCAGCTTGAGGAAGTGCCTTCAGAGATTGTCTGGGACACGTTTGCAGTGTCGGATTCCATTTAAATTTATAAAGGATAGTCGGGACGCCTAAGTAACTTAAATACCTAAAACTTAAAAAAAATGTAAAAGCATACATAAATGGCACGGAATACAAATCATTTTCATAAGACATATGAAAACGTATGGCTTTTTCATCCTGGACGGGCCAGACATAAGCAAAGAGGCAGACATGGTATGTGGATATTACAGAGAGTCCAGGTGATACCGGAGGGTTTTTTAATTTTTTTCAATGAGAATTGTTCGTTTTGTACACAGTAAAGATCAGTTAACTTTTAGTTCTGCTTCAGCCAGTCATTCAACAAAATGTTTCTTCTCTGTTAATACATACTAGCTCTTTACTCCCTAATGATGATGATAATGATGTTAATAATAATGAGGAGGAGAGGAATTTATAGATATGAGGGTCGCAGCTACCCTTTGCTTCCCAAATCCTGAATCTCAAACTGCCAGCAGGAATTTTAGACTTCTTTCTCAGGCCCTTATACAAGCAAACAGAAGCATACTCCATTGATAATCTGAATCAGGCCAGTGTCATGAACTCTCAGGGCGAACACCTCATGAACCAGGGAGGGAGGGTGGGACTGGCCATGAAGGAATAAAGGTGATCAGTCCGAATGGACCAGAATGGACAAAGTATGCCATGTGACTTTTTCTTCTCCCATTTTAATTATAAAAACTCAGCATCAAAGAAAACATTTTTAATGGGAAAGTTTGGCAAAATGTGTATGAATTTCCTATCTGGGGAGATGCCGTTTTTCTTGCAAAATATAAATGTAGATGTTAAATAAAGCTATATACTGTTTTAATGGACAAAAGTATCATTACTTCTTAACAAGTATAAACCTGCACACGCTGCCCCCCTTCCTCCCACAGTATCCTGTACGCAGACATCGTTGGCTTCACCCGGTTGGCCAGCGACTGCTCCCCAGGAGAGCTGGTCCACATGCTGAACGAGCTCTTTGGAAAGTTCGATCAGATTGCAAAGGTGAGTGTTAGTGAGTCCCTTCCACTTGGAGGATTTATAAAATCTTGGCTCACTTTTTCTCTGGTCCCTTATCAACCTTTGGCTTTTGTGTAAAGCACTATTTAGGAATGGTGTTTATACATTCATTGGGTATACTTGCCATTGGGCCCTGATGAGCCTCGGCCCTTTCTTGGGGATGAGAAACGTTGTAGCACAGAATTAGCAGGTTTGCATCTATATTTCAAACTTCTGCTTATACAGAACTCAACACACATATAGTAAATACGTTCAAGATGGTAAGATTTAAGGTGCACATCCCTCTGCACGGTGCTGTTCTAGGCTTCTCTTTTTGGGCATTTCGACGTCAGGAGTTGGAAACGTGATTGCCCCTCATCCAGTTGTAACCCGTCCAGTTGTAATTCATGTAGTCAGCACTCTGGAAGAACCCCTAGAATAAATAGGATGCCTACTTTCCACCTAAGCCCTTTATTTACTGTTGTTTCACTCATATCCATTAACCGTTGTGCCCCCTGAACAGAAATGTAAGTTCACTGTTTGCCATTCATTTGCTCGTGGATGGGAAATTTCACCGAGAGGAAATGGCGACGGGTAATCTGAAATCCAAACTACAACTCGCATATCTGCTGGAACCATTAGGGTTCCTTGTGGGAAGAGCGATAAACACTTTTTTCTTCCTTGCTAGCCCTTTACTTCCATCTCATAACACATTACTGGTCAGCCTCATTCTCTCTTGGAATCGTTTCCAGCAAAAAAAGACTTCATTATGCTTATTGAAATGAATTATTTATAGAGGGAAGACAGAATTGGTCCCAAATTCAGTTCACTGCAAGATTCACCTCACTTTTAAACCATACAGAACATTCCACCCAAGCCTCTTTGGAATAAATGTGGCGTGTTGATGTTCACAGAGTCACTCCTGGGTCAGGCTCCCCGGGAGATGCCTTATGCTGCCTGCCTGGCCATGGTGGATCTCCCTGGGGATTTTAAAAAATCAGAGTGTAGCACTGCTTTCTTCCTTTACCAAACCAAAGGAAAAAGTTGAGTTTTTTTGGATACTTAATTTTTTTATAAACTTTTTTATGTTTACTCATTTTTCAGAGAGAGACACAGCACAAGCAGGGGAGGAGCAGAGAGAGAGGGAGGCACAGAATCCCAAGCAGGCTCCAGGCCCCGAGCTGTCCGCACAGAGCCCAATGCGGGGCTCAAATCCATGAGATCATGACCTGAGCCAAAGTCGGACGCTTAACCAGCCAAGCCACCCAGGCACCCCTGGATGCTCATTTTTTAGAAGATTGTTTAAAACATAAATAATGTCTTAAAAGTTTGAATTAATAAAAGATCATTTTTGTCACATTAGGAAGAAACATGCCAGTCTGGGTGGGTGATAACATTACTCCAGTGTTAACATGGCGTTCTTCCTCTGTGCAAGTCTCAGGGTCAGTATCTCCCCTTTTTATAAGAACACTAATCATAGTGGATTAGCCGCCCACCCAACTCCTGTATGACCTACTCTTAATTAATTATATCTGTAATGAGGTCAGGTTCAGAGGTACCAGGTGTTAGAACTTCAACATACGAATTTAGGGAAGACAAAACTCATTGCTCATAACAGAAGTACTTACTGTGACTTCCTGTTCCTCTCTGATGATTTTTACAAAGGAATGTCCAGGCAATACCAGGGTACAGCCTAGGATGACTTGGTCCATCCACTGTTGGTCACAGAGGGAGCATGTTTTGGGTACCAGTTCATGCCTCGTGGTTAAATAACTTGGAGGTGGCCAGCATCGTAAGCAAACGGCTCAATCAACTGAGTGAATTCTACATAAAGCACATAACTGAACTAAGGAACTCCAAATCATGGGTCATTCACTGTTACTTTTTAAAACATTTTAACCACTTTCTTGAGGTATAATTGACATACCGCCAAAAACTATACATATTTAATATGTGACATGTAATGAGCCTGGGGATAAGCATACACCTGGGAAACCATCACCACAGTCTATGCCATTCACAAACCCACCACATACAAAAGTCTCCTTTTGTCCTCCTTATTTCTGATCCATGATGATGTGCTTAAAACACTTAACATAAGTTCTGCCTTCTTAGCACAGTTTTAAGTTTACAGCCCAGTATTGTTAACTATAGACACTATGCTATACAGTAGATCCCTAGCACTGACTCATCTTATGTAACAAACACTGTACCCTGGGGCGCCTGGGTGGCTCGGTCGGTTGGGCGTCCGACTTCGGCTCAGGTCATGATCTCGCGGTCTGTGGGTTCGAGCCCCGCGTCGGGCTCTGGGCCGACAGCTCGGAGCCTGGAGCCTGCTTCGGATTCTGGGTCTCCCTCTCCCTCTGCCCCTACCCCGCTTGTGCGCTGTCTCTTTCTCTCAAAAATGAATAAATGGAAAAAAAATTAACAAAAACTGTGTACCCTATGACTGACACCACCCTATTTTCTCCTTCCCCTAGGCCTGACAACCACCTTTCTACTCTCTACTTTTGTGAACTTGACTATCCCAGATCCCTCATACAAGTGAGATCATGCCCTATCTACCCTCTGGATATCCTAAATAAAGTCAGGCTTACTTCACTTAGCAAACTGAGTTAAAAGGCACATGAAAAGGACCAGACACAATGACTAATTTGGATTTATTCTTGGGATGCAAGGATCGTTCAACACACAAATCAATCAGCACGATAGACCACATTAACAGAATGAAGGATAAAAATTACATGATCATGTCAATAGATGCAGAAAATGCTCTTGATAAAATTAAATACCCTCTCATGATAAAAACCTAACTAGAAGCATCTGGGTGGCTTGGTCGGGATAAGCGTCTGACTCTTGACTTCAGCTCAGGACATGCTATCATGGTTCGTGAGATTGAGCCACGCATCAGGCTCTGCACTGATAAGTGTGGAGTCTGCTTGGGATTCTCTCCCTCTCTCTCTCAGTCCCTCCCCAACTCATGCATGTTCTCTTTCTCTCAAACTGAATAAATAAACATTTTTTAAAAAAACCTCTTAACTAATAACATATAGAAGAAACTCACCTCAACACAATAAAGCCATATATGAAAGCCTATGGCTAACTTTATACTCAATGGAGGAGAACTCCATTACTTCCAAGTAATGGAAGTATAGCTTTACTTCCAAGATTGAGAACATGGCAAGGATGTCTGCTCCCACCACTTCTGTTCACCATAGTACTGGAAGTCCTAGCCAGACCAATTAGGCAAGAAAAAGAACTAAAAGGCACCCAAACCAGAAAGGAAGAAGTAAAATTATCTGTTTCCATTGTATAACCTTGTGTACAGGAAACCCTTAAATGTCCACAAAATCTGTCAGAGCTTTTAGATCAGTTTGGTAAAGTTGCAGGATACAAAATCAGTGTACAAAAATGAGTTCCATTCCTTTATGCTGATAGTGAAGTATCTGAGAAGGAAATGAAGAAAATAGTCCCGTTTACATTCGCATCAAAAAGAATAAAATACGTAAGAATAAACTTAGCCAAGCAGGTGGATGCCCTGTATGCTGAAGACTATAAAACATGGATGAAAAAAGGAATCTAAAATGACAGATAAATAGAATGACATTTCATGTTCCAGGGTTGGAAGAACTAATATTGCTAAAACGTCCTTCCTACCCACAGCATTTCCAGATCCAACGCAATTCCTGTAAAAATCTCAGGGGCGTTTCTTACAGAAACAGAAAAACAATCTAAAATTCATATCGAACCACAAAAGACCCCAAAGAGCCGAAGCGCTTTTAAGCAAGAAGAACAAAGCTGGAGGCATCACACTTCCTGTTTTCAAAATGTATTGTGAAGATACAGAATCCAAGCAGTAGGATACTGGCATTAAGAACAGACATACAGGGGGGCCTGGGTGGCTGAGTCGGTTCAGAGTTCTGAGTTCAGGTTCAGAGCCTGAAGCCTGCTTTGGATTCTGTGTCTCCCTGTCTCTCCGCCCCTCCCCTGCTTATGCTCTGTCTCTCTCTCTCTCTCTCTCAAAAATAAATAAATAAATAGATAAATAAATAAATAAATCGTTAAAAAAAAAAAGACATACAGACCAATGGAACAGAATCAAGAGCCCAGAAATAAATAAATAAATAAATAAATAAACAAACAAACAAACATTTGATTAAACTTATCAAAGATAAGTTATATCTTATATATATATAATATATATATATACATATACATATATATATATGTAGTCAACTGAATATGTAGTCAACTGATCTGTGATAGGGATGCCAAGAATTCACTTTTATTAAACTTGGTGTTTTCAAGATTCAGGATACGTATTTAGGAAGTATGAGACTGAAGCCCTATTAATACATAATTACTTGCCTTTTTATTACTTAATGATATTTGTAATCAGAAATTACCAAGCTCCATAGAAAAGTATGAAAATATGCCCTAACTTGTGCATTCTCTATCAGACAGGGAAAGAAATATGAAAAATCCTCAAGAAACCTAACGCCTACTTGAGAACAAGAAAATGTTATGTTCGTTTTTATTATTTCAGATTTGTTCAGTTTATATGTAAGCCTGTGTTAGTGTTACGAAAGAAAAAAAAAAACTGTGTTTGGCGTATCTTTCGGTTTTTGGTTCTTTTTTCTTTCCTTTTCTCTTTTCCTTAGTGGTGAGTCTGTAAAGTAACTAGAAAAGTTAGAAATGCATGTAGGATTAATGCATATGAATGAAGTTAATCTCAATATCATAATATAAAAACAACTGAGGCATGAAAAATAACGAGTCCAACTTTGTATCAGAAGTTTAACCTGAGGTCAGAATTACATTTGAAATTACTTGGCCATGTTGGATGGTAACTTTTTGTATTGTGGAGATGTTTATCAGAAGCTATATTCTGCAGGTAAGAATCTACTTCAGTTTTAAAATAAATGAAGGGGCACCTGGGTGGCTCAGTTGGCTAACTGTCCGACTTCGGCTCAGGGCATGATGTCACAGTTTGTAGGTTCGAGCCCCGCAATAGGCTCTGTGCTAACTCAGAGCCTGGAGCCTGCTTCAGATTCTGTGTCTCCCTCTCTTTCTCTCTCTCTCTCTCCCTCTCAAAAATAAACATTAAAAATTTAAAAATAAAATAAAATAAAATAAAAACCATGAGTATAGTAGGAAATGACATGTGATTGTAATTCCAGTCAAGTTCCAGTCATCATTTACTTTCCTTGGACTATTTCACTTCACCATCAGTATTTGAGATGTTTGGACTGAAGAGAATGATCTTATACTCTTCTGCTGCTGTTAAGTGTAAATCATTCCAGAGCATTCTGTCTGCTTTCCTTTCCTTCCCCTTTTCCTTAGTCTTCCTGCTTCGGCAAATGGCCATGGGGTGGCTCATTCTTGTTGGGTGATGAAGGGAAACCCAACCGCTGGTCATTTCTGTCCCCACAAACCCTGGTGACGGCCACGCCGTGTCAGTAGAAATAGCACCTGATGATATTCGGAAAGTCTAAACCAGATGTAAGCTCTGAGTGCAATTCTGTGATCTCTTCTTCCAGGAGAATGAGTGCATGAGAATAAAAATTTTGGGAGACTGCTACTACTGCGTGTCCGGACTCCCCATATCTCTCCCGAACCATGCCAAGAATTGTGTGAAAATGGGACTGGATATGTGTGAAGCCATAAAGTAAGTGTAATGCTCAGTAGGACCCTTTTTAACTGTTTAATACTCTCAAGTTAGAATGCTCACGACTGTTTCTGTTTTTCTCTCTACTGGGATTAAACACATTACTGTGCATTTAAATGTAAGTGCTCAGAGACTCAGTTATTGGTGTCTGAGTAACTGGGTCCAGAGTAAGACTTCTCCAAGTGTATTGTTACCACTAGCCTTAGCAGAGAGCAACATGAAGATAGATATCTACGGGCAGGGATGGTTTGGGTGGTTTCAAAAGTGACTTTTTTTTTTTCATTTAAATATCTTCTCTGAGCTTAAGTCTGTGCTCTTATCATGTGACAAAAATTTTCCTTTTTTTTTTAAGTTTTTATTTAAATTCTGGTTAGTTAGGGGTTCCTGGGTAGCTCAGTTGGCTAAGTGTCTCACTTCGGCTCAGGTCATGATCTCATGGTTCGGGAGTTCGAGCCCCACATCAGGCTCTGTGCTGACAGCTCGGAGCCTGGAGCCTGTTTCGGATTCAGTGTCTCCCTCTCTCTCTGACCCTCCCCTGCTCGTGTTCTGTCATCCCCCCTCTCTCTCTCAATGATAAATAAACGTTAAAAAATTTTTAATAAAAAATTTAATAAAATACTCTGGTTAGTTAACATACAGTGTAATGTTAGTTTCAGGTATACAATGTTGTGATTCAAATACTTTTATATAAACAATTTCTGGCAAACAGTATGGCTAAACTCAGGGTGTCAGGGAGAAAGTAGTTTTTATCATCAGACCACAATTAATATAAAAATCTAGTCCAAAATTACTGGATCTACTCAAAAATGCTCAGTTCTGTTAATTTAATTTCAGTTTATATCCATAGTGTATGTTTTCATCATAATTTTAGAGAAAATTTACTTACATAGAATAATATTATGGTGACAAATACCAGCTAAAAGTGTGAGGTATAGAGTTAATTTTTTATACCAGTGCCATAATATGCTCTCATAATGCCTTTGGTAGAAGCCAGAATATTCTTCCAAATGGTAGAAGCTCTTGCTTGTTGTTTGTAGGATTGAAAGATTTTAGTTTATTGGGTTTTTTGATTGCCTATTTTGGTCGAGTGACTTTACCCCCTCCTCCACACATTTTCAGTCTAAACAGGACAGCAATTATGGTTGATGTTCCATCTCCTTGCCCCAGAGTAAATGGGGCTTTCAGTGAGAAAGCAACAAGTCAAGCAGTCGCGTGTTTGGCCATCGTATATACTAGTCATGTGATGAAATGGCCTGCAACGGTTTGTGGGGGCTTTCCCAAGGCTGTCCAGGAATAAATACTGAAGCCCGCACTGCCTCCACTGAGTGTGGGAAGCCTCAGTTGTCCAGATCCCAAGCTTAGACAACTGTGGGCAGAACAGCGTTGGGAGACAGATGAAGTAAGTGGAACTGAAGAAAGAACTGAAGAAGGATTAGTCTGCTTCCCACCCAAAATCCATCATGTGGGAATCACCTTGTTCTTCCTGCTTCTTCCCATAAGTAACTCGTTTGTCTTCTCCGACATGAAAAATATTTTTACTTTGTGCCCATAGTAATTAACTATTTCAGACACCATTGGTCTAGACCATGTGAGTGAATCTAATCAGTAAAGCTAATAGGTTTTCTCAAATTTATAACCTGTCCCCGGAGGCAACCCCAGTGTTAGTTTTGAACACGGGATGAAATGGATTCTAGTGAAGGAAAGCATTTTCTTCTGGATTTCTTTTTCCAGTTGATGTGGAAAGACTTTGTAAAGGACAAATATATTTATTGTGTGCATGAGTAATATATTGGATTAAACAACCCACCCTTTTACTAAAATTTTACTTCTGCTTTTGAAGCAACTGTTTTCCAGTTCTGCTATGTTTTCCTTACTCCAGCATGTTGAAGAACTTCTCGGAGAAAGAATGTTTACATTCTGTGCATTCACATGTCACCAGTTCATCAGTAATTTTTTTCTGTTCTATTTTTTTATTGTGGTAAAATATACATAGCATAAACGTTGGCCTTTAACAAGTTGACATGTACAGTTCCGTGGCATGAAGCACATTTAAAATGTGTGCAGCCATCACCACTATCTACTTCCAGGACTTTGTGGTCTCCCAAGCAGAAACTTCATACCCATTAAGCAAGAACTCCCCTTCCCCTCTCTTCCCAGCCCCTAGTAACTCCTTTTCTACTCTCTGTCTCTATGAATTTGCCTTTTCTGGATATTTTGTATGAGTGGAGTCACAATATTTATTGTTTAAGAGTATGGCTTGTTTCACATAGTATCACATTTTCAGGGTTCATCCACGTTGCGCAATGTCTCAATACTTCATTCCTTTTATGGTGGCATGAGATCCCATTGTGTGTATATATCACATTTTGTTTATCCATCCGTCATAGATGCATAAGTACTATCTCACACGTCCAGAATCTCAGTAATGTTAAAAGATTTGAGGAAACTTTCCAGAACTCTTGCTTATTAAACTAAATTTAAGCTTCAAATTAGGCAACGGTTGTGTGTCTCCGTCAGCTGCCACTCCTTGACCAAGAGCTTCCACATTGTCTCCCTGGTGTAGGTCATCTGTTCAGCTCATATGCATTTGACAAAATAATCAGTAATAGGTTATTTTGTTGCACTTACAATAAAGGGCAGGAAAAGAGAAGTCATCTCAGCAAATGTCAGGAATTATTTGTTCTTCTAAAATACAAGGGCAAATATTTCTGTTCCCCCTTATTGAGCCATACGATGAGGATGAATGCAAGAATTCTAAGTTTTTAAGCTGGTGGACAGAAAGGGTACGCTTGAACATAGAATTTTGCCATATTATCTCAGGTTTTTCCTAGGAACCAGCAACATGGATCAAAGAACATTTGTCTGTATTTTTCCTCCGTGTTTGGACCTCCGCACCTGTTCAGCACCTCATTCTCTATTAGCCAAGCACCACAGGGAAGCACGTCAGCTGTGGTTTGGAATCTTCCCAAGGCTTAGAGAGATTTTTTTTCCCCTGTCATGAAAGTGTAAACTGTTTTTAATAAAAAAAGTAATATGCAGAGCCCTGACTTTATAAGTGACTAGGGTTCCTCTGAAACGGAAGAGATTGTCTACTATAATTTTTTAAGTTTATTTATTTATTTTGAGGCCGGGGGGCAGAGTGCAGAGCATAAGCAGAGGAGGGGAAGAGAGAGGGGGAGAGAGAGGGAATCCCAGGCAGGCTCCATGCATGGGGCTTGAACTCACAAGCCATGAGATCATGACCTGAGCCAAAATCAAGAGTCTAACGCTAAACTGAGCCATCCACGCGCCCAGATTGTCTACTATTATTGCAAGCTTTAAGCAACTATTTCAGTATTTTTCTATAGATCACCCAGGTTGCATCCAAATCCATTAAAACATTTGGTCAGTCAATTCATTTGAACACTTGATCAACCCATCTTTCTAAAAAAGACATAAAGGCCATGGAGGTGGTTTTAAAGAGCCAAATCTTTCACCAGTCAGTTCTGTCAAAGTGGCCAACCACAGAGTGCGTCATCGAGCCTCTTATTCCCTTGTGACTTTCTGCTGACCATATTTGATAAACGTAAATGCCATGTGGTTGGAAATGTTCTGTCTCAATAACAGAAAATCTTAAGAACAATTATAGGTTCTACAACAAACTTTCCAGGATCATTATCTCACAAAGACAGAAACACAATAAATCCTTCAGAAATGGCCAGTAATTCATCAATTACTAAACTTATACCAAGTGTCTATGTTGTACTAGACCCTGAATCCACTGATGGGTATACAAACCACTCAGACCAGGTCTGTGTCTCCATGGGGCTGATACTCTGAGAGCAGATGTGGACACAGATGGGGAGTTTCGACTATACTCAGAGAGGCTGAAGCACAGAGGTGGGGTTCCCACATCAACCCACAAGGAGATCGCAGAAGGCCTTCCGGGATGAGGTCGTGCCTAAGCTGCTTGTAGAAGGCCATGTGACATCTGCGCCCTGTTAGGAAAGAGAGGCTCAGGGCAGTGAGGAGCAGAACTCTCGAGGGACCACCTCGAGCAAAGGCCCAGAGCTACGGCCCATATGGTGCCCAGGCAGCCATACGCACCCATTGCTGATGGAGGATGGAGTGAGGGGGGTGCGCAGCTCTCCAATGTCACGTGGAGGCTCTGGCCCATCATGTGGACGGAAAAGTTTGGATGAATTGCTAGTACCGAATAGGTTGTGATCTGTGTTGTGAAACAAAATGGGATGATAGGGAAAGAGAAAGGGGAGGGAAGAGAGGGGAGGGAGGGGAAGGAACAGTTTTTTAGATTCTTCTTACGGGAAACCATTTCTTTTTACACTGTGGGTCCATTTCTTACCATTTTTAGCTCTTCAAATGATGTCATTTTATCACTGAAGCATGATATCCAGGCCTGCGTCATTTTGAGATGTTTATTTACTGTAGCCCACACCTGGTGACCTTCTCTCTGCTGGGTTGCAATCAATGTCATTGCTTCCTTCCACGTCTCCTCTGGGGTAGTTCTCTCCATGTACCGGGCACCTCTCCATACTTGCAGTAATATTTTAATTGATAAATGTATTTAGCTGGCAGAAATAAACAAGCATTTCCAGCTGCTGTTAAAGGACGTTCTTCATTTGTCTCTGTAAAGGAGTTGCTAATAGGGTCCTAAAGTATTTCTCAAATGATTTTTTTAAATTAGTTTTTTAAAAATTTTTAAATGGTTATTCAGTTTTTGAGAGAGAGAGAGAGAGAGAGAGCAGGGAAGGGGCAGAGAGAAAGGAAGACACAGAATCTGAAGCAGGCTCCAGGCTCTGAGCTGTCAGCACAGAACCCAACGCATAGCTTGAACTTAGGAACCACAAGATCATGACCTGAGCCAAAGTGGAGGCTCAACCAACTGAGCCACCCAGGCACCCCTAAAGTTAGTTTCTTTTTAATGACACCTTATGCACCATTAAAACTTTTATGGAGTTTTGTTGCGGTTAAAGAATGTGGACGATCGAAGCACTTTAAAGTCATGGTAGCGGCGCCTGGGTGGCGCAGTCAGTTAAGCGTCCGACTTCAGCCGGGTCGCGATCTCGCGGTCCGTGAGTTCGAGCCCGGCGTCAGGCTCTGGGCTGATGGCTCAGAGCCTGGAGCCTGTTTCCGATTCTGTGCCTCCCTCTCTCTGCCCCTCCCCCGTTCATGCTCTGTCTCTCTCTGTGCCAAAATAAATAAATAAATAAACGTTGAAAAAAAAAATAAAGTCATGGTTAGTTAAGAAATTCCTATTCAGGTTGAAGTCATTATTAGGCTTATTAAATAAGACATATTGTCCCTTATCGACAGAAAATATTCATTGGAGGTGTACATTGTGCTGAGTGCTAGAATCCTATATGGCATCTCAGACCGTTTCTGACAATACGAGGCAATGTCACACGATCCTAGGGTGAAAATTCAGAGCAGGTGTCCACACGTGACAGGTGCCTGATACACATATTTGTTGAAAAAGTAGAAGCTACAGCCAAAAGGTTACATTAGTGCTGACAGTCTGGCCTGATGTGGCTGGAGAGCCACAGCTTGGGAGCTTTTGGTGTAGTCTGGGAGTAACCAGGAAGAAAACGCCCTTTCTCTTGGCTCAGAGCTGCAATCTTCTGCCCCAGGAAGAAGTCAGGACTGTATTTCCAGCAGTCTGAGAAATTCTGAGTAATAAAATGCCCTGAAAATTGGCCAAGAGTTACAGGAAAAAGACGATATCCCCGGATGGTGACGTTGCCTGCCTTCTCTTTAGGAAAGTGAGGGACGCCACCGGCGTGGATATCAACATGCGCGTTGGAGTGCATTCTGGGAACGTCCTCTGCGGCGTGATCGGTCTGCAGAAGTGGCAGTATGACGTGTGGTCACATGACGTTACCTTAGCCAATCACATGGAAGCCGGAGGGGTTCCTGGGTAAGGCCGGACTGGATTTCTCTCTTCACGCTGTGCGCATGATTAGAAATGAATGATCAGCAAGACATTAACAAGGGATTGACTGCTCATGTCTGACGGCTTCTGTTGCCTCTGTTAGTAGCATGTTATTCCTGCCCTAGTGATCTCCTACGTTAATTCGATAAACTTGAACTCTCAAGTCTCACTCAATTCCACTACCCCATGACCTATGGTCAAAAGACTCTGGATATCAGATCCTGAATTATTTTTATTTGGAAATTCGTAAATAGTACCCAAAGGGAAAGATGTTTTCTAATGCAGTACAATGGCATTTCTCTTGACCAATGACCTCTGAAACCAGTACTATTGAAATGAGGACGAGGCAGCAGCTACCCGTGGCTAGAAGAGCATGTTTCAGACAAGAGGATTTTGATGCAAGTGCAATAATTTGGAAAAGCGTGGGAAGCATGGAACTAAGTCATCCATAGTTGTGTGTAGATCAGCATACTCCCGAAAATGCCTCTGGCATATGTGTCCAAAAATATCCTCACACATAAAACTTCAATATGATCGAGTTTTATTGGCTGTAATGCACCACACCCACCGTGCAGGTTTCCGTAAATGCAGAGAAGCTCCAAATGTTAATATCTCATGACCTCTGTGAGCATCTATCCAGAGCCCCATTTCATACAATATAAACCTTACAGTCAATTTTACCAAGAACATACAGCCTTATACAACCTTTCCTTCACTGGGGCGGGAGGGTGAGGGAAGAAGGTATTATTCCTGACATCACAAGTAAACAGAAAAATCTTCATGTGTATCCATGTTTATCTTGATTATGGTTTTAAAATGGAATTTCAGACGTGTTCACATTTCTTCTGTCACCTTGGAACACTTGAATGGCGCTTATAAAGTGGAGGAAGGAGATGGTGACATCAGAGACCCATATTTAAAACAGCACCTGGTGAAAACCTACTTTGTAATCAACCCCAAGGTCAGTACTGTGAAGAGTCTATAATTAGCCTATGACTTCTGTGATTTAAAAGGGAAAAGGGCAAATTACTGATACAGGTAAGTGTTTTTAGTCGAGAATCAGTTTAATGTGCTACTAGTCTTTGCCTCTAAAATTACTGTAAATGCATGCAGCCATTTAATTATGGAACGTGTTTTATAATAAGTTAAAACATTAAAGAGACCATTGGGGAAAAAATGCTTGCTTGTGTGATGAGATTACTGTCTATATGACAGGTTGTATGTGTTAGTCAGCGTTAGTCAATGTATAAGTTAGTCCACGATGCTCCTGAAAGTCCCTCAGTGTGCCCACCCTGGCAGTTGGGAAATTACATAAAGACAGAAGGTTTTGCTCAGGAATTCAGATGATAAAAATCTAATGAGATGAAGTAGGATGAACATATAAGAAGAAGGAAAGGAAGAAATACCTAAAAGATTGGCAACTAAATGTCACAGGTGCGTTCGTGTGAGTACATGTATGTGCAGACAAGGTGAACTTGGATGCGATAAAATCCTCCGTTACCTGGAAGACCGTCCAAACCACCCGGAAAGAAAGTTAGGAGCTGTCTCTTGCTCTGTTCACACCAAGTGTCAGGCCAGAGCAAGGGCTTGGAGCTCTCATTTCTCACAGCCCTTCTCAAATTCCTGCCAAATGAGTGTCACTGCTATTTGCAGACTAAGAATCTGCAGCTCCTAGGGGTTATGTAACTTCTCTATGTCACACAGCTGGTAGGTGCAATATATCAGCAAGAAACAAAATCAACAAGATCAAGGGTATGGATGTTCACTCATGGTAACCTCCCTGAAACTCCGGGCTCCCCTTTGGGAAGACAGTTGCAGCTAACTTGACAGTTGATTTGGAGACAGACGAGTGACAGTCAAGAAGACCTGTGGGGCGATAGGCAGAGGGAGGAATCAAATAAATAAATAAATAAATAAATGTGTACAAGGAACATTGTGTTCAGGCAAAGAATACCAGAACACAGATGAGTAAGACCGTTTAGCATCATAAAACAGCCCCACTCTCTAACACCTGTCACTTTAGGAAACCACAGTCATCAAGAAAAAGTTGAAACAGATCAGCCTATCTGGTTTAAGAATTTACTTTATAAAAATGCCCATGAAAATGGCTTATTTTTTCCTAAGTTTAAATTACAGTTATCTTTTGCTATTTGGGGAAAAAAATCACTCAGCTCAAGCAGCTTGTAACACTGGGAACCAGTCACACTGAAGGAGTGAGGACAGAAGCCTCGGGGAGTGAGGGGGTGATGTGGGAGGAATCGCTTAGTCGGGGCGAGGGGGCAGGGAGGAGAAGTTTTGCCCCTTTGGTATGCCAGGTGTAATGCTTTGTTTCTCACCCCAAGGGGGAACGACGGAGTCCTCACCTCTTCAGACCTCGCCACACCCTCGATGGAGCCAAGATGAGGGCTTCCGTCCGCATGACCCGGTACCTGGAGTCCTGGGGAGCAGCCAAGCCCTTTGCACACCTGCATCACCGAGATAGCATGACCACAGAGAACGGCAAGATCAGCACCACGGTGAGCTCTCCCTGTGTTCCAGAGCGCAGGCGCACGCCAGACCCAAGCTAGTTTCCTAAGCCAGAAGGCTGGGCATCTCCTGTCAGAATAACTGGTCTGCAGTGAAACAAGCCTAACCCCTTCTCCTTGAAGAGACCCCTTAGAAACAGCTGTCCTGGTGTGAATGAGTGCCAGGCTCACCTTGCTAAGGGTTTCAACCAGAGTGATTTTACATTATAACTCTGTAACCCAGGACCAGTTTGCTTACTTGTTATTTAACTCACTTATTAGCAACTAAATACAACTGAACTTTTCGCGGCGGTATTTTGTTTGTTTGCTCTCAGGAAGTAAGAAAGCCTGCGCATCCTAATAAAAGAACAAATGAAGGCATCATGCCCTTGCGGTTTGAAACACAGCATCCAGACTGTCTTTTCATTGTGGAAATGTTCAAGCTGTGTCAGGGGCAGTGAACATTCTATTGTTGTAGCTCCTTATTTATGTCACTCCCAACTTCTAACAGATAATAAAGTGCCAAAGCGCTTTACAACAGGGACACTCTCAATAAGATGGCTGAAATGCAGAGAGAAAATAGACCCACAGGGGGCCAGAAAACTGAATACGGCGAAGCACTTAGAATAATCGCAATGACGTTTGATTTTAAAATGATCTCTGAGTAAAATTTCACATACGATAGAGTTAATTGTACGAGGGATGCAGTTGGGGCAGAAAAGAAAATGGAATGTTACATAACCCTCAGGTTGTTAGGCAGCTGCGAACTTTCCCCATCTGCCCTGTGCTCCCTACTCCCAGCAGCTCAGAGTGACAACACCCAAGGCCCCCAGATCCACGTACTTGTTTTGACTTGGTTATATCTTTCCTCTCAACTTCCTTGGTGTTTTTTCCCAACTAACAAGTAAACGTGATCTGACAGAAGATCACACCCATCGGTCAACCACGGAAACTGCCAGGACAGGTCCAAGAGCAGTTTCCAGTCTGTTGGGAAGCAAGAGACCCTAAGTCGGAAACCAGGCAACCAACAAGATCATCTCCGCTGCTGCTGAGGTCGATGATGATGAAAATGAAATGGAGATGTCTTTGGGAAGGAGATGTCTTTGTGGCGACTCTGGGGTTGTCTCAGAGAAAGAGAGCAGTAAACTGGGGAGGAGGTGGAGAAGATCAGTCCACTGGCCCCAACATAGTAATGAGTTGAAGTCTTCGGGGGGCAGAGAGGAGGCTGATGTGGCAGTTAGTTTCATCAACAGTAAGGAACAGAGGTCATCAAGGATGAGATGCACTGAGGTCATTGTGCGGAATCCATTCTAAGTGTAGTGAGAGGTCATCAGAGGATCTTCAGCAAGGAAAGGGCATGGCATAATTAATGCTTTGGAGTAATAGACCAAGAGTTCAGGGCGCCAGGGGAGAGCGATGCCCTGTTATACTAAGGTTTTAGTTGAGGAAGGAATGAGAAGCAAGTTCAGGGTCTACAGTTCACGATACAGCTTGGCTGTATCCCTTACCCACTTTGAGAAAGACCCCACGGTCATTCTTATTAATACATTCCAGGGTCAAACAGTATCATTGCCAAAAGTTATTTCTTTTATCTAATCCCCTCTGCAGAACATCACTGACTCCCGATTCAACATTGATAGAGCTGGTAAATAATGCATTATTTTACCTTATGTAATAAAACTTGGAGTTCAGTTATTTTTAAAAATATATATATACCGTACCTTTCCCTAGGCTACCTATGTTTCCTAATCTAATGCTGTAGATAAAGCAGCCAAGAAAAGTTTCTTTGGAGCCACTTGGAGCAGCTTTGTCTCAACTTTTATTTTAATTTCCACCACAAATGTATAAAAGGGGGTCTTCCGGGTTTTCGTAAGTCTACTGAACATTTGGCAGTGGGTCCCCCACTGATAAACCCTGACCAGTGTCTCTCTCCCAGTCCCTTTTCAGAAACTGCTGGCACACTGGGGTGTGGATTTCTTCTTTTCGATCAGTGAATCATGCTGTTGCATAGTTCACCGAGGGCACTGTCTCTTGACAGCCCAGTTTGGGCATGACGCTTGACTGTACATTTTGTGGTGATGTGTGTGTTTTCAAGAACGTTTGAGTACCTGTCTGACGTCAGACTCCATTTTCACAGGATTGTAAGCTGTCTGCAGTAACTCTAACGGCAGTTGCCTGAGGCCCCTTGTGGGAAATCGTACCTGCAAATATCAGGATGTAAATTTTAAAGTTCCAGACAACAACTCTGATAGTTCTAACATCCAGAGTTTATAGATGACACCAACATTCCAAGTATAAACTGAGCTTTTAATCCTTTTCACATTTGTAATTAAGCTATTCTTCTCCACAGGGGTAATTATTTGTTACCTAAATGATGCTTTCCATGATAAAAGGAGAAATAATGTTATAAATGATCATCACTGAAAGATCATTCTTTAAAGCATGTTTTTGGAAACTAATAACTTTTTTTTTTTTAAATAGGATGTGCCAATGGGTCAGCATAATTTTCAAAACCGTACCTTAAGGTATGTTATTTGTCCCACTTTTTGATTTTCAAAGGCTTGGGTTTTTTTTTAAATATTTCTGAAAGTAATTATCATCAATTAGAGTAACTCTGAAGGTCACTTCTTCTAAAAAGAGCAGCTGCTTGTGAAAAGCTCAATTTGATTGTTTTCAGCTTCTAAAAATATAATTATTAATGTGACATTACTAGGTCTGAAAGAGCGAAATGGAAAAAGGCACCTGGTAAATACCTTAGAACTTTAAATTGTTTTCCTTAAAAATGACTCTTCTTAACCTTAATATGTAGTAAAAAAAAAATTGAATTTTCTTAAAATGAGTATGTTGCTTAAAATTACATTTTCGTATCTGTGGAATCTTGGAGATAAAAGCAAGAGAAATCCAGCCTTTCTATAGTGAAAATAAGGCCTGCCCGACCTGCTCAAAAAAAAAAGAAAAAAGGTTCACCCAAGTGTCCACAGGTCCCCTGTCGCCATCAACCACACAATCACAGTCACTAACTCTTTTTCATGTTCCTCTGATTTTGGGGTTCAGTTTTTCACATCCGTATTGGTTGGGGGAGTTAAATATTTCTTATTGAAGTCATTAGGATAATTCATGAAAAGCCCAAAACTTAAGTCAGCCTTTCTTTCCCCACAGAGAAGTCTATTTATTCTGTAGAAAATGCATTATATCCAAGTAAAAGTAAACACAATTAGATTGTTTCCTGCCACCTCCTTGCAAACAGTGACTTTATTCCAGAATCATCTCTGTGACTTTATTTGTTGGAATGAGCTCTAATTTGTATTTTGGGGGAAAATTTGAAATTGTAATATTGAGATCTAATACTCAGAGTCCTATGTTATAAGGATATTGGGTTCTTGGGCTTTTGAAGCATTCTTTAAGTGGCACGTGCCATATTAAAGAGAACTTGAGCTAATTTGGAAATATTATGGACCCCGTAAGATGCCCTGAGAAGGCGTGACTCATCAAGCCAGTAAGATGCTAGTGCATCAGCGAGAACTGTCCACTGAAATTTCTTAGGCGTCTTCACTTTAGAGTCCGTATTCCTTCTGTGATCTGTCTCGTCCTCCCTGCGGCTCTGCCTCAAGGGTCTGTTTACTGAAATCAAAGCAGGAAATCCCTCGTGTGGTGCCAATACGATGTGGGTGGGCAGTGGTTTCCGGGACGAGTGCTGTCTGGAAGACAATGATAATAAGCCATCATTTGGATCTGTACCAGGCATACGGAGAATCTAATTTCATCCCTACAGCGTGACTCCAGCATAGACGCTATGCCATTACCATTTGAGAAGGGAGGAAATAGAGGCGAGCGGGGTTAGGAGAATGCCCAGAGCTACACGGCTGGAAGAGGCGAGGCCCAGATTTGTGACCCCAAACTCTGCGCTCCCCACCGCTCTTCTATCACGCCTGCCTTGCTAGGAGCCTCTTCCGTGTTGACTCCACTTTCCTCTGTGGTGGTTGGATCTTTGGTGGCCCCAGGGCCTCACAGAGAGCTCCACTTCCAAATCGGACTCAACTAGGCTGTCTTCACGTGTCCTGGCTTCCTGAAGTGGCCTATGTTATAAAATCTCTCTGTGCCTTCAGCCTGGGTACTGAGTCGGCATCACCTGGTGTTGAACATTATCTGAGATCACACTCTATCCTCAGATACAGTAGCCACGGCACAGGAGTGGGTCAGTTGGGGAAAGAGCTCAGAAGAAAGGATGGAGGGAGATTGGAAAGCAGGGAGGGGGGCAGTGACAGAACACAGACTGGAGAGTCAGAAATGCCTGAAGTCTGGGAAACAAAGCCTTAGCTGGCAAACTAAGAGCTCCTAGTGGTAAATTCTCACCTCCAGGGGTATCCTATCATTTGCCATAGCAGAGATCACAAAATCACAGAGATAAGGAAACTATGTGTTAAGAATTATTATCCAGGTAACCAGTAAATACAGATGATTGTGTAATAATATGCATTTATCGGCTACGTCATGTGCTACCTTTATAGCATTGAGTGCTGTATATTATGTAAACGAATCCTAAAACAGATCCACAGAGGCAGTGCTGTTGTTAGCCCCGGGCGTAGCATTGAAGGGTGACATTTTCCTGTGAGTCTCCAGGTACCTCCACTATTCTTCGATTCAGTGAGACTTTGTGATAAAGAACAGACACCAAATTGAAGTCCGCAAAGTCAAGCCTAAGCATAGCGCTGCTAAAAAGAAAACTGAAGGCAGCCCCTTGCCTGGAAGCGAGAATGAACCATCCTAGATGATTGCTAAGTATCTTGCTCTTTAAAAAAGAAGGGTAAAAATTAATTTGCCTTCTTCAACAGCTTAGAATCTGGCGTGCTAAAACTTCTTCGTTTGCTCCTGTCTGGGGGCAGATCGCCTCCTATCATTCTGCTCTTGGAGCAGGGATGCCCTGGGCCTGTTTAAAAAAGGCAGGACCTGAGGACACCAACCCACAACAGGGATCGGTTGGGAAGGCCCATCCATCTGGTCCATGATACTTCCATGAGATTTAATTACCGCTAGCCGTGACATTGAATACGTAATGCTATTCTTGTCTGAAATCAGAGGAGTTACTGTTCTTCCAGAATAGAAGGCCCATCCAATGAGTTTTTTAACCCGCCAGAGCACAGAGAAGCCTAGTGCTGTCTCCGCTTTGGACGAGGTGGCTTGATGATGCGGTGCACAGGCTGGGTCAGGCCAGTTTGGTGACGCTCCCCTGTGCTTTCACTCGGTACCCCCCGCTGTTTAACTTCTAGAAAATAGGGATTATTTTGGTTTTCTCCTTTATATCATTCTTATGCTAATGGTCAGATTAACTCAGAGAACACATTCTTTTGACTTAATGTATTTACAAGGCATCCTTTATTATGGCTGAAGATTATTTTCTTCTTCTTTTTTTTTTTAAAGATTATTTTCTTCTAAGACCAAGTGAGTGTCTGCAGATATATGTTGTGCTTTCGAATACTGAGGAAGATTTACATGCATCCCATTAAGCTTTGATATGCCTCAAGGAAGAGTGTACTTCTGCAAATTTTTGAAAACTGACCAAGGGAAACATGGACAAGGCATAGCTTTTTTTCTTTTTTTTTTCTTCAACCAGACCAGATTTTTACAGGGGAATTTCCAAAACCAGGGTGTTCTGTCATAAAATAAAGTTTACAAAGGCAACAGGTCAAGGGCTAATGCATCTCCTAGGACAGAAAGTTCTTTTATCGTAAACACCAAGTACATATCTTTCAGCATGGCTTTTTAACGCCTGGTATCGTTTCGCTGTAAGTGAAAAGTGAGGCAACATTTATTGCACCAAAAAACTCTAGTCTGTTCACTCAATCGGCAGAGTGGCTCAGTGTTAATAGAGTAAAGGCTGCTCATAGACTCTTGTTTCATTTTGCCTTTTTTTGAATTCAATGGGCAGAATGAAAGAGAGGTTTTGGCATCACAGAAAAATGGACTTAGTATTCGGTTTAGTCATAATCTCTATCATAATATTTCCCTTTTCACGTAGAACCAAGTCGCAAAAGAAGAGATTTGAGGAAGAATTAAATGAAAGGATGATTCAAGCAATTGATGGAATTAATGCACAAAAGTGAGTACTTCTCAACCTTAAATTATCACACGTTTTTTATTTCAAACCCTAGTATGTGGAAATCATGTCATGCCTTCCAAGAATTTTACCTGAAACTCTGTAATACTTACCATGACAAAGCCATTCCTTTAGAGGCTTTCATTTCACTTCAGTTGTCCTTAATAACAGCTTCCGTCAATTAGAAAAATTTTAATCGCTGCCTAAGAAATCCTTTCCAAGTAGATTACTGACAAACAACATGAGATGTAAACACAGAAAAATCAGAGCGAAATATGGTCAGTAAGTAAGATTTTTTAAAGACCGATAGGAATGCCCTATGGGAAAATCTGAGTTGGATTATGTGACTGTATCTATTGAAAATGAATTTATTCCGCTAAAAAATCAGGAAACGTGGAAGTACCTGCGTTCTCCGTTGTCGAAGAGAGGTTTTGAGCATTAGAATCTGAATTCGTGGCAGCAGTGGGAAGATGAAGGATTCTTTGGGGGACAAAATGGCATTCAGTCTGTGAAGTCTGTGAGTTGCCAGTGTAGTTTTAAATGGTCCAGGAGACGGATGCAGGGGAAACCATGTAAAGAAGGTGGTACCTTTCCTAGCCTGGACATAATAACTACATTCATTGGCCTTGAAATTCTCCGTGGGTCCATGTGTCATGGCTGAATTCCTGGAGGGCAAAAGATGGGTGACAGTATGGTGCCTGGTACCCCTTAGACGCTGAGTAACAGCGTTTTTAATTTAAATTGTAGCAAGCACATCCGTAGGTCCAGATGAAAAGACATAACGGAAAACTTTCCACGATTTTTATCATGAAAGTTGAGTCATGAAAAGTACGAATGGTTTTCACCTAAACTCCCTGCTTCCAGAATTATGTTACACAGCTTTAAAAACTGTGTGCCTTTTCTAGATTGTTCCTTATAAGCATTTGTTTTAGAATATTTACACAGCTTATGAAGGACTCTCATGAGTGTATAGTATGTGTACATAGGGTGTGTATGTGTGCGTGTGTGTGTGTGTTTGCAGAGATGACAATAAAGTTATCTTGACTGGACTAGAGCTGTAATTCACATATGCTAACGTGTTCAATTAACACGTGTCTGGAGCCCCTCATTGTGCTCCAAATAGAGAAAGCCCCCCCCCCCCCCCCCCCCCCCCCCCCGTCTTGGAGCACTCGGGACACGCCAGCAATGCCCAGACAAATGCTCTGCTCTGCCTGGCACCAACAGCAGTATAAAAGTCAGGCTCAATTCTGCCCCAATCGAAACCTCAACACATCACGAACCGAGAAACATGATGACCTGGAATCTGGCAGCTAAAACCCAGGGTGGAGTCTGATGACGTGTGATATGGGTGGAAGGATATATTCGTTCAACCAGAGGAAACAGCACCTACTACTCTGTGACCCACCAGAGGAAAACATAACATCGGAAGAAAGAGAACACCTTGTTCCTGACCACGTGTAGCCCATGACCGTAATCACAGTAATAATAGAAAACCCACGTCTAAAACGAGCCTCAGCATGTCTTCCCACAGGACCCGTACCTTCTTAAACTACCTTTGTGTCCACCTTTTAGAGTGTTCCTACAGAAGGAATCATTAGGTAGTATAATCGTTGGCTTGGCTTTATTTTTGTCGAGGTGGCCTTCGGATTGTCTGTTTGTACTGTATCATTTCGTATTCAAATACATGCGGAGCGACCGCCTTCATGTTTTAACGTAGGTTTATTCTAAGGTGATATTTGATGTTGGTGTAACTGCTTGTGTTGTAATTTTCCCAACACGTTTCGGAAGCGAAATAGGGAGAAATGTCCTGCTGTACTCAAAAGCCAAAAGGGAAGTGTTTAAATGGAAGCTGCTTTGCATATATTTTTTAACGAGACTCATTCCCATTCTGTTAGACCTTATTCATCACCTGCTCTCGTGCCTTCGTATGATGGTCTTCTGTCTTTGATTTTCCACTTGAGGATTCCACAGAGACTCCAGACTGGATGTACCATTCTGTCATTTTCTGCAGTGGGCAGGAAACCATGATTTATATGCAGATTTTCATGTATTCATTCATTTACTCATTTATCAAGCATTTTGTTAAGGGCTGGGCAGTGTCAGCATGTGCTTGACATCCAGGACACAAGGCGCAGTGTCCCCTCGCAAAGCCCTAAGGGAGAGAAGTCACCGCACACGTGCTCAGGGCAGAGGTGCGAGAGATTTGACTTAGTCTGGAAGGCGAGGTGACGAGAAGAAAGCATGATTGATAGTTCTGCACGGAGGAGACTTGCCAGAAGCTTCTCTCAGAGCCTCATTGTGGGAAAAGGGAGGCCTCATGGTCAAAGGTGCCCAGGCCATCCCCTCTAGGGGCATTTTTCTCTAGAGGAGGTGGGCTTTCCTGTAAGACTAACTTCAATAAAGGGCCATTCATTCTATATGGTTATCTTGAGGATGGGACTGCCATGTCAGGTTCTCCCAAATTTTTTTTTTCATTTTTTTTTAATGTTTATTTATTCTTGATAGAGACAGAGACAGAGAGAGAGAGAGAGACAGAGCACAAGCAAGGGAGGGGCAGAGAGAGAGGGAAACACAGAATCCGAAGCAGGCTCCAGGCTCTGAGCTGTCAGCACAGAGCCTGACATGGGGTTTGAACTCCTAAACCGTGAGATCATGACCTGAGCCAAAGTCGGAAGCTTAACCCACTAGGCTGCTCAGGCGCCCCTTGTTTTTTTTTTGTTTGTTTTTGTTTTTTTTTTTTTGGTTTTTTTTTTTTTTAAAGCAAAAACAGAAAGAAGTAATGTGAAAAGTACTAAGAGAGAAAGACCTTGGCCTTTGTGCTGAAGGAAACGAGCTGGAGGGTTCATGAAGAGCTTGTGCGCCAAGTTTAAATATGTGCGGTGGGCGGAGTTGATGTGTCAGCGTAGGACAGACAGACCAGAGCATCTCAGACCGCAGGGCTGAGGCAGGCTGGGCCCCCCACCCTGAGACACCACCTGTCCACCAGCATTTATCTCAGCCTGGGTTCTGTAGACTATCTTTCCCCAATGTCACGGGCCTTAGTACACCGTTTAGGCCACCGAAGCCTTCAGTTTCAATACTGCCTGGAGAGGTGTTGTAGTGACAGAGCACCACGGATGGCGGGGGGGACTGAAACAGCAGACATTTACTGCTCACAGTTCTGGAGGCTGGAGGTCCAAGATCAGGGTGCCGGTGTGGTCGCGTTCTGGTGAGAGTTAACCCCTCGGTTTGCAGAAGGTTACGTTCTGGCTGTGTTCACATGGCCTTTTCCTGAGGCTGTGCAGGGAAAGAGAGAGAACTCTCTGGTGTCTCTTTTTATAAGGACGTTAATTCTCTCCCATCAGGGCCCCACCCTTATTCAGGCCACGTTGATGGAACATTGATTACCTCCGTAGAGGCCTCATCTCCAGATACAGCCGCACTTCAGGTTAGGCCTTCAACATACAAATTGGGGGGAAATAGAAACCTCCAGTCATCACCATAGGAAAGGGGTCCTCTCTCTATTTTATAGTGGCCTCTTTGCCGTGAGAACCTACATGCTTATGTGCCAGAATTCTGGAAAGGATGTACGTGTACTTAGTCCCCTCATTCAAGTCAGGATCTTGTTCAGGATCTTTGGTTGAATCTTTGCTTGAGCTGGGCCTAGCACGAAAAAAAAAAAAAAAAAAAAAAAAAAAAAAAAAAAAAACCTTGGTATAAATTAATTCAGAGTCACTTGGGGCGCCTGGGTGGCTCAGTTGAGAAGCCGACTCTTGATTTTGGCTCAGGTCGTGATCTCACGGTTCGTGAGCTTGAGTCCCAATTTGGGCTCTGCGCTGACAGCGTGGAGCCTGCTTGGGATTCTCTCTCTCTCCTTCTCTCTCTGTCTCTGTCTCTCTCTCTCTCAAAATAAATAAATAAACTTAAAAAAATTTTTTTTAAATAGAGAATCGCTCATTATATAGCCCAGGAGTGGGGTTGATTTTCTTCATCCCATAGGCCTCCTGGGTCAGGAACCATGTCAGGACCCCATAAGTAAAACACACATTCGCCCTCGCTTCCCTCTTTCCCCTTTCCCTTCCTCTCTCTTCCTTTCTTTTCCCTTCTTTGCCTCTCTTGTAGTTCCAGTTCCCAAAAATCATATTTGACCTTATCAGCCCCCACTAACCTTTCCTATTCCAAACATGCAAATCACACAAATGTCTGAGTGTCCTGCTTGTCAGTGAAGGGAGCTGAGGCCATCTCAGAGACCCTCTGACGGCAAAGCCTGTGAGAAGAATACACTCTCCTTCCTTCCGAGGAAAAGGTCAGAAGAACCCAGCACTCGTGGCTGACGAAACTCGGTGTTAAGTGTTAGGGACACAGGGAAGTGAGGCCTGGCCTGGAGCACTTCCTGTTCACCCGCAGGACACAGGCAGGCAGCGGAAACCAGCCCTGGACACGAGGCCCTGTTCATTCGGGAGCTGCTTTTACTTCTCCTTGATATATTTCGCTCTTACTTTATTTCCAATCTGAGGTTACCCAGAGGCACTTCGAAATTAGATTTTTCTCTCTCAATAAAGGGAAAAAAAAGTATTTTGAATACGTTTCCTCCATACATTATTCATGGTTTGGTATTCATAACGAGCACACGGTTCTGAAAATGAATATGCTTAAAATTTATCTTCGATTTTATTTTCTGCTCTTTTTGCTGTTTAACCAACCTTTTATTTCTCCAGCCATTCTCCTCAAACAGAACAATACCATACTTCTTACAGCTGGTACGGTAATAAGAAATACCCAGAAAAGTCTGTTTTCCTGATAGCTAAAGCTTATGCCTTGAACCAAAAGGCATTTTTATGGTTCTCACTTTCAGCGGCCATCATTTCTAGAACGCATCACTGACCTGTGTGCCTCGCTGGGAAGTGCGCGGTCTGTAGCGTAGATCTGTGGGTGAGTCAGGCTCACCGCGGTGCACATGTGGTGCGAGGTTCTGGACGCAGGGCTGTCCCGGTAGGACCCGGACAAATGTGGTGGTCTCCTGGGTTAACCAGTCGTTAGCCCCAATGGGAAGCATCTGTGCACATTTAGAGACACCCCCCCCCCGCCCCGCCATCCAAAATCAGTAGGCGGCTGGACTTGCCGATTATAAGGTAAAGTGCAATCGTTGACTTGGCCTTCTTTCCTGGATCCTCAAATCCCTAGCCCCCAAACATACCTCAGGGAGTCGAAATCCATAGGCCACAATGGATTGCGAAAGAACCACAGTGAGAAATTCATGTGAATTGATAATTACTTGAACAGATACAACAGTTTTTGGAAACCTATGTAAAGCATAGTTTTATACCTAATATCCTCAAATATATATACTCTCTCTCCCTCTATATTGATATGTATGTATAGATGTAGATATATGGTTATATGCACTTATAGATATATGCACATATACATTATATATGCATTATGTATGCACACGTATAATATATACACACATATCTATAATGCCTGTATACATAACTCAGTTTATTTTTTTATTAGAAAGGTATTTATTTAAGGAAACTAGGGAAGTAGAAATGTAAATTCCTCCGTGTAATGACCCAAACCAGTTGGTGATGTATTTTGTTGGTATCGATTTCTAGATTTTTTTCTCGGCACATAGATTTCCCTTTTTCCTTACATTCCTGTACTCGTGGATGTAAGAATGTGTATCTTCGTATTTCACTCAGCTTTGTTTCATCGAGTGTGCATTTATTTTTATTTCCAAGTGTGTGACCGTACCAGGCATGGATCACATGCCCGGCTTGCTTGGTGTCGCTCTTCCACTTGCAAGCGTGTAAAGCGTCCTAGAGAAAAGTTTTGTCCTGAAGCTCTTCGTCTATTTCAACCGGCTTCTTGAAACCTGTTTCTAAAAGTCAATCCATGCGTCAGAATGCACACTTTCCTATGATTTTTAGTTATTTTTCAACATCTGAGGGATATATATGTATTACGCATGTGTTTGCATGGATATATATATTTGCATCTACGTACTATGCGAGTGGCCTGAACCGATCACTTAATGTATTAGTATTTTTACGTACTTTTCAACACCACATTCAAACAAAACTTTTTTACTTTATGGAAATGAAAGACATGACCGTGAAAGTATTTTCAGTAAGTGCGAAAGAAGCAAGATCTTCCCTCCCGGAACTCAGAGGACACCCTAAATGGTTTCGATGCTCTGATGTATTGTTTGCTATAAGCTAAGAAAAACGGTAGTTTTCTATGAACCAAATTTTTCAGGGGATGAAACTACCATGTGATTTCAGTAAAATGTCAGGAAATAAATTTATTGATGTACTTGCATCTTTTTGATGGCCTATTTCCCTAGTTATTTAATTCGAGACCATGAGTTTCAGTTTGGTATGATGACTGTAATGGCCAATTTTCCAAGGAGGGTCACTCCTAAAGAGGGGTGTCATATTTGCACATCCCCTTCTTCCTAGACTCTATATCCAGACATCTGGCATCATGCGGTTTTTTTTAACTTCAGTTTTGGATGATTTACAATAAAGAAAGAAGGATGCCCGTTACTGTTTAAAAAGTAGTTTTTCAGCTCATTGGTTGGAGGGTTGGGTTAATGATGTTTGTCCTTTTTATTTACAGGCAGTGGCTCAAGTCTGAAGACATTCAGAGAATCTCGCTCCTGTTCTACAATAAAATACTAGAAAAAGAAGTAAGCTACTTTTTTATTCCCCCAGTCTTTTTTATCTGAAATGTGAGTTTTTAAAAATCCCTTCATGAAACTGTGCTCCTGTTTTCTGCACGAAGCACTGACATCGCCTCGGACTATATCAGACCTTTTTACAGCCTTTTCTGTGTTGCTTCCATGCACAAGGTGTTGCACTGTGTGTCTTGTTACCGAGTTTCTGTCTGGCCGGGCACCCGACTCAGCCCTGCAGGTGGCAGTGGCATCTTCAACGGGTGTGAGATACCGGGCTAAGGAGGAGACAGGAGCTAATGACTGGCTTTCTCAGTGACACATTTTCTTTTCTTTTTTTTTCTTTTCTTTTCTTTTCTTTTCTTTTCTTTTCTTTTCTTTTCTTTTCTTTTCTAAAGGTTTGTTTTTGGAGAGAGAGACAGAGAGCAAGCAGGGAAGGGGCAGAGAGAGAGGGAGAGAGAGAGAGAAAGAATCTGTAGCAGGCTCCAGGCTCCGAGCTGTCAGCACAGAACCCGACACGGGGCTCGAACTCACAGACTGTGAGATCATGATCTGAGCCAAAGTCGGATGCTTAAGGAAATGAGCCACCCAGGTGCCCTTCAGTGGCACATTTTCTTAGAAAAGTTTTTAAAAGAAAATAAAACCGTTCCTGATAAATGCACAGCTTCTTTACACAAATCATTGAACAAAAATATGAGATTTACATTCAACATCTGTTTGGGAGAATTAGAAATGCCAAACCTTTAAGTGTTCATTGCATCTAAATACTTTTGCCTTGTGACCCCTCCTGTAAGAGATATGATAGGCTCAAATAAAAAAGCCCCATGTATTTGGGCTTTACATGTTAGGCTTAACATGCATTTGCTAAAATGTATTAAGTAATTGCTACCCCCCCCAAAAAAAAAAAACCACCCCTCTTCTAGGTTGGTTTTATTGCATTTGCCTTTTGTTTTGTTTTGGTCTAGAAAAAGGTACAAGTTAGAGACAATTTTTATCATCCAGCTATGTAATTACAGGCTTAGTTCAAACAAAAGCTACTGTATTAATGTCAGTGGTCGCTGCACTGGTATTAAAATTTTGTTGAGAATATTCAGGTCATTGCTTTATGGGTATTGAACAGAATAGCCACAATCCATCAGGGTTGGATTTTCTAGTTGCACCTAAACTTTCTTTTGTGTTAGCAGTCAGTAAGATCAATTGCCTGCTTCCAAGTCAACATACTGACTGCAGACAGCTTACCAAATTGACGTGTGACATAATTCATCATTACTATCGACCATTTTATCCTTGAATAACTTGAACAGATACTGATGGTTACTTATCGTTTAAATGTGAAATGATTCCTGCCTGATTCAAGTCCATTTCCCTTATTAATACCACAAGGAAGTTCCAATTCATATCTTGACAGCCCAAAAGAAGGTGAAAGACAAGGGTGCAAGCGAGTGCAAAAATGTAATCACACTTACGCAATTATGTGAATATCGCTTCTTCACCAGCGTGTAAATTATCCTGTTAAGTCACAAGTAAAATATTCAAGTAAACAGAAGGCGATCGTCATCTTAAAACACAGTTCTTGCTGACATTCTCCCTGTGTGCCTATTTGTAGAAGCCAACGTTGAGGCAAATTGTAGATGCCATTGGGATGTAAGCTCCCTTCCTGTCCACCTCCCCCCAGCCTGCTCTTCTGGCCAGGAGGATGGGGTCAAAGGCAGTAAGACATAAAGCAAGAGAAACATCAGTAGACCACCCAGACACCCGTCATCCCGCACTGAAACCCCACAGCTCAACCCAAGGCACGTGTACTCGAACTTCCCACGACTTGGGCACAGTCTATGCAGATACGGTGAATGCAACCTGCCGGTATTGCCAGGAGGTTTCAAGAGCGTGGGCACAAAAACTGCTCTCTCCTTTAATTTTATGAGAATACCCTCTTTTGTGAGGCAGTAGAGCCTGGTGGTTGGGACCCTGGGTTTGGGAGTCTGTCCCAATTTTTGCCATGTGCTGTGTCTACCCGAGGATGTTAACTAGTCAGAGGGCGCCTGGGTGGTTCAGTCGGTTAAGTGGCCGACTTCGGCTCAGATCATGATCTCACAGTTCGTGGGTTCGAGCCCCGCGTCAGGCTGTGTGCTGACAGCTCGGAACCTGGAGCCTGCTTCTGATTCTGTGTCTCCCTCTCTCTCTGCCCCTCCCCAGCTCGCACTCTGTCTCTTGTCTCTCTCAAAAATAAAATAAAAAACGTTAAAAAAAATTTAAAAAAAAAAAAAAAGAGTGTTAACCAGCCGTTCTGGTCTGAAGTTCTTCACCCAAAAATAGGGACAATAATAGTTCATTCCTTAGGCGGTGGTAAGGATTAAATGAGTTGGTGCGTGTAACGCATTTAGAGTGCCGGTCACGCCATCATCAGGGCTATATGTGACAGAGATCGCTACCACCATTATGAGTGCAGTGCTGGCTGGCTTTTCTCTGCATAACTCAAGCAGGGGGTCCCAGGCGGACAGCTACCCTGGTCAGTGTACGGTCCTGGATGTTACGGAAAGCCATGTGAACCCAGTCATTGCAGGAGAAGAGTCCATCAGCCAGGTGCACACAAGCAAACGGAATGGTCATAGACCTAGAACAAAACCCACCGGCCTTCTCTGTCTTGCAGATTTCCTCACTGGCTCTGAGTAGCATTGAGATAAATAATAAACATAAAACACTAAAATAAATAAAATGAGCAAGCTGCATGTCCGCAGTACGCTTCAAAAGTAAAATATGTGGATAGTCGCCTGCTTTCCCCCATAGCTGTGGACATGAGACCCACAAGGGGACCCGGGCACCTGCACGCTCACAGGGATGCCACCAGTTCCCTCACTGGTCCCTGTGGTCAGGTGCTGTCTTTCCTTGCTGGTCAGTTTTTCTCATAAAAATCCTGGTTTTGGGGGGAGAAACGCTTTCACAGCCCAGCTGGAGGGAGGAAGCACTCAGTGCCAGCGATGAACGGCCGTGTCCCTGGCTTGTTTCTCGGCACATCATAACTTAGGAGTCTGATACATGAAAACAGGTACAGGTAGGCTGCTGGCTGATTGTTTCAGCCCCTCCCAGAGAATGTCACTCATGGTTTCCTTCTTGTCCCCTCAGTACCGAGCCACCGCACTGCCAGCGTTCAAGTATTACGTGACCTGCGCGTGTCTCATATTGTTCTGCATTTTTATCGTGCAGATTCTGGTATTACCCAAGTAAGTACATGTGGTTCTCCACTGGGACTCTCACTGGGTGCATCTTTCTACCGGAGCTACTTATACAAAAGTATAAGAGAGGATGCAGATTTCCAAACAGGGAACATGGGGAGGGGGCAGTGAAGCTAAGTGGCTCCCATGTGTCATGCTTAGTTACAATAATACTGGATTTTCAAAATGGACATATTGATTCACTATTTTTTTTTTATTTTTTTTTTTTTTAATTTTTTTTTTTTCAACATTTATTTTATTTTTGGAACAGAGAGAGACAGAGCATGAATGGGGGAGGGGCAGAGAGAGAGGGAGACACAGAATCGGAAACAGGCTCCAGGCTCTGAGCCATCAGCCCAGAGCCTGACTCGGGGCTCGAACTCCCGGACCGCGAGATCGTGACCTGGCTGAAGTCGGACGCTTAACCGACTGCGCCACCCAGGCGCCCCTTGATTCACTATTTATAGGGATTTAAAAAAATAAATTTAACCTTCTTACTTTGATTTCCGTATTAATCTGGTGCCCAGTGTAAGAAACGTAGCCCAAGAAACTTTACCCGGAAAGAGATAAATGTCTAGATGTCGTTTCTAATAAATAAATACCGTCGTTATGTATTAAAAGGACAACACCCACTCTGAGCACACTTTACGTACCTGTCCGTTCTGATTCTACCTTTTTCTTCCTGAAGTCCACCCTCTGCCACCCTTTCAGCTTGTTATAGGGTCACTGTCCAGCTCACCCCTCCCAGGAGACACCTGGCGACAGAGGGGAGAAACTGAGCAAGCCAGATTTCACACTTTGGGGTGGCCTTCTGGTCCCATCTGTTGGTGAAAATCCAGTCACCTGGGATTGCTACATTGCCTTTCTCTCGCACCTTCTTACTGAGTGCAACACAAGTCAACCAACTGTCTCTGAAGTGATGGATTCGTTCTCGTTCTATGGTCTAAGAGAAAAGAAGAAAACAAAACTCTTGTCCATTTGTCAATAATTGGGGATGTAGAAACTTTTAAGACAAATCTTCTACTGCTTGTCGCAATTTTGTAAAAGCCAAAGCAACCGTTTTCAACCTAGTCTGATCTAGTTGCGTGTTTGCATTCAACTTCAGCAGCATTTGTGGGCAACTTGACTTGCCGAGACTGAACTGCATTTTGTCTCATGAGGGTGTTGCGGAAACTAGAGAGAAATGATCTGCCTTTCCCCTCTGTACCCCAGAGGACGTTCTTCCGGGCCCTAAGCCAATACGAAGGCATTTATGGAAGTAATAACAAGTCACAATATAACTCACACATGCACGTTCCAAGCTGTCTGCCTCCTTTTAGAAGAGGTTCCTAGTGACTTTCCCTCCCTCCCCAACCCCCCATAAATTAGTGTTGAAATACAAGGGCCAAATGAGCTCTTCTACTGGGCTTACAGAATCTTCCGTGAAAGTTCCCCATGTCAACACATCCATTTCCCATTCTGAAAAAGTAACAAATTAAGCTGCTTCTGAGCTCCAGGCCTGTGCTGCTTGGGAGAGAAGACGGAGCCTGCACACCCAAAGCTTACTGACTGATAGAGCCGAAGGGCATTAACAAAGTATATAGGTGAAACAAATATTACCAAGGGAAGTGGGCTCTTATTTTTACTATTAAGTAGAAAAATTCTTTCATTTTTCTTCATCTTCCTATTGGATGAGTACTTTTTATATTTTCTGTATCATAATTAAGACAGGGTTTATCACTCACTGGAAGGAATTAGGAGAAAGGAAAGTGACCAGGACGTTTTTTCTTTTTCAACCATCCGTTTTCGTACTATGCAAAGTAATTCTTTTTCATAGTATACATTTGGGTTTTTTTCTTTATTTTTATTCAAGAATAACTAACATACGGTGTTCTATGAGTTTCAGGTGCACGACATAATGATTCCACAACTCTGTAATTACTCAGTGCCCATCACGCTAGGTGTACTCAATCCCCTTCCCCCATTTCGCCCATCCCCCACTTTCCCCTGGACAGCCGCCAGTTTGTCCTTTGTATTTAAGTCTATTTTTTTGTCTCTTTTTTTCTTTGTTAGTTTGTTTTGTCTTTTAAATTCTACATAGGAGTAAAATCATATGGTATTTGTTTTTCTGTGACTGACTTATTTTACTTAGCCTCTAGCTCCATCCGTGTTGTGACAAACGGCAAGATTTTTTTATGCATGAATAACACTCCATTGTATATGTACCACATCTTTCTCCCTTCATCTACCGACGGACACTTGGGCGGCTTCTGTATCTTGGCTCTTGTAGACAATGCTGCAGTCAACACAGGGCTGTGTACATCTTTTCAAATTAATTTGGTTTGTTTTCTTTGAGAAAAAGCAACCCCAGAGCCCTGTTGGGAATGCAAACTGGCGCAGCCACTCTGGCAAACAGTATGCAGGTTCCTCAAACAATTAAAAATAGATCTACCCTATGACCCAGCAATCCACTACTGGGACACTTTAAAAGATGATGCCAAAGAAGCCAGAAACTTCCAGGGACCAAGGAAAATAATTTGTGGGATTGCACTTTTCAGAGAGCATCAGGGAGATGTCTTCTGTCTCTGCGTTTCTTTTCTTACCTCTCTTCTGTTGTGCTGTATCTTTAAGAGGATCCATGGAAGTTCGTTGTCTCGGGCATCATCACCAATTATTAGTGGGTTTCTCTTGAGCAACAAGTTGGATTTTGAGCTGGAACATTTTGAAATCTGTGCTGGTTTGCACTTCCCTCTTTGTGTTGGCAGTTGGAGAGCTCAGGGTAGGTCCGCGGGCTCCACTGAGGGAGAGTGGAGACTGGAACTTTCTGTGCTTGTTTCGTATTACATTTATATTATATTATGTTTATGTTGTATTATAATGCCCTCTTATTTTCATGCTAGTGTCCTCATGTTTCTTTCTTTTTTCTTTTTAAATGATTCTTCTTGTGAAGTATTTCAAAGATACAGAAAAGTACAGAGCGTAAAACAATAAACATGCATGTGCACGTGATCCAGGCGGTACAAATTTGATCCTATGATATGTTTACTGTAGATAAGTTTCTGTGATCTTGAAGCTGTTATTGTTTGGGTATACTTCCTGTGAACAGCATCGATTTTTATTTTGGTTTTTATTTATTCGATCTGATATTTTTTCGGTATTAATGTGATTTGATTCCACTTGTGTTTGATTTTATTGCTGGTGTATGTGGACTCACTTCTGCCATCTTACATTTCAATTACCTTGCCTTTCTTGGTATACTTCCCCACTTCCTAACTTCTAAAGGATTGATTCAGTTTTCTTTGTTCTGTCTTTTCCTTTACTAGTTAATATCTCTCTCTCTCTTCCTTGTGCACATGTGTCCTCTCTCTCTTCTCTCTCTCTCTCTCTCTCTCTCTATATATATATATATATATATATACACACACACACATACATACACACAAACATAGTTATATACAGCATACATATCTAAAATGTATGTACTTACATAACCACATATGTATATAACTGTATGTATATAACATACAGTTTTCATTCAGTATATTCTGAAGTTAATCCTTGTATCTTGTACATAATTATTTCTTAGAGATTTTGTTCCAGATAATTGTAGTCAGTATTGATTTAGATTTGCTCTTGTTCTTTACCAGCTTATTTCTTCATCAAATTTTTTTTTTTAGTTTATTTACTTATTTTGAGAGAGAAAGAGAGAAAGAGCAAAAGCAGGGAGGGGCAAAGAAAGAGGGAGAGAGAGAATCCCAAGCGGGCTCTGCACTATCAGAACAGAAATTGAGGCAGAGCTGGATTTCACAAACTGTGAGATCATGACCTGAGCTGAAATCAAGAGTCCGATGCTTAAGCAACTGAGCCACCCAGGTGCCCCATCAATGCCTTTTTTTAATTAAAGCATAATTAACATACTGTCATATTAGCTTCAGGTGTACAATATAATCATTCAAAAATTATACACATTTGTCAGTGCTTATCTGGTGTACTCTTTTTTTTTTTTAATGCTTATTTGAGAGGGAGAGAGAGAGCACGAATGGGTTAGGGGCTGAAAGGGAGGGAGGCACAGAATCCAAAGCAGGCTCCGGGCTCTGAGCTGTCAGCACAGAGCCTGACACAGGGCTCAAACTCACAAACTGCAAGATCATAACCTGAGCTGAAGTCAAATGCTTAACCAACTGAGCCACCCAGGTGCCCCCTTTCCTGGTATACTCTTAAATCCCTTTATTTATTTCACCATCTTTTAAAAAGTTATTTCCTCAAGTTTCTCTTCTTGCTGATGTATATCATTTATTACTTCTTTTATTAAGGTCTGTGGGTAGCATTAGCACCTACTTTTTTCTTTATATTAAAATATTTTTACCTACCTTTTTCACATTTGCTCTTCAATAGTAGTTTAACTGGGTATAAAATTCTAAGTTAACTCATTTTCCCTTACTATTATGATGATGATATCACATCAATTTCAGCAGCTGTTGTTGCTAATGAAATGTTTTCTGTCAATCCCATTATATTCCTTTTTAGATAATTTGTCTTTACTCCATGTGTGCTTCCCAGCCCCCTGCAAACTTCACCATATTATTTCCCAATGTATATTTGTTCTTATTTACCTGAGTGACTAGGTGTGATTTTTCAATCTCAAGATTCATATTTCTACTTAGTTCTTGGAAGTTCTAACATTATCACCTTATGTATTCTTCTATCCTTACTTTTTCCTCCTGAAATCTTATTAATTGTATATTGTGTTATTCATAATGTTTACTGGGTCTTAGAATTTTTCCTCCAAGTTTACACTTCTTTATTTCATTGTGCTGCAGTCATTCTGGTGATTTCCTCATCCACATCGTGTGTATAATTTCAATGATTATTTTATATCTAAGAAGTCTATTTGTTCTTTTTAAAATCTGAATTTCTTTATAATTCTGTATTTTACCTAAGGATTCCTTTTTTTTCTTTTCCTTTATTAGTATCATAAATATACTGCATGAAAATAGCACTTCCTTCATTCTGTTATAGTGGTGTATAAA